ACCCCGATTCCGCTGGGGAGTGGAGTGGGGCACTGGCGTGCGGGGTCCCTGGTGTCCTTTTTCCCTCCAGCAGGCCTGCGGCCTTCAGTGTTACAAATACCTGTGACGGGCTCTCAGCCACAACTTAGCTCCTCAGGCCAGAGCTGCTCTGTGATGAGAGTAAATCGCCCACATTGCAGTAGGAGCCTAAAGCAGAACTTACGGGAAAGTCAGTTTTCCTTGCTGACAGCAGTCTCCTAGCTTTTGCAGCTCCGCAGCCCCGTGTGCTGCTGATCTCCACTCCTCTACCCGTAAGGTAAACAGGAAGGCTTTTGCTGCCAGGGTCCTGTGATGACCTGATTTCTCAGGAATCTGCCCTCTTTCAAGGCTGACCTCCCCCTGGTGCTAGTAAGGTAGACAGTTATATTCCAGTAAGTGAAGTCCTGTTACCTTTGAGGAACTGTCTGCCTCAAAAGACCCAGCTAAGTTTGGCGACTGTGATGCTGTAGACAAAGTTGAGGACATCTTGAAACTCCTGATATTTGGCTCTCAAGGCTAAACTGCAAAGCAGTCACTGAGTAAAACAAACAAGCAAAAAAGTCTTTGTTCCTTTTCGTACCTACCCCTCCAGAAAAGGTATATAAGCTGAAAAATTCCTTTGTGCGAGGCTTCGGCTGCTTTTAAACACAAGTCCACCTTAATGCCATGCACTTTTAATAAATCCTGACTCCTAGTGGCCTCTCCTGTCTCTTTTATCCTGCAACATGACCACATTGTCAAACTCAGGATAAGTGATGGTTCATGCCCTGAGATTTGAAAGAAAGGATCGCCAGGCTTGGTGGTGCACATCTGTTATCCCAGCACTTGGGAGGCCAAGGCTGCAAGTCTCCTGTGAGTTGGAGTGCAGGCTGGGATACCTAGTGAGTTCGAGGCCAGCCTGAATTACTTAGTGAGATCCTGAGTCAAAGGACATAGAGAAGACCACCCTTCCCCAAAGAAATAAGGAAGAAAAAAAAAAAAAAAAGAAATGTTCAAAATTGCTGGCCATGTGATTTGATGGTAGAGTGCTTGCCAAGCATGCAGTGAACTCCTGTTACATACACAGCAATGCAAAAATATTTATCATATTTATGATTTAGGTGGCCCCTCTGTTAGCAGAGAGACCACTTAAGTGAGGCCTTCCCATAGAGTTCAGAATGCTGAGAGACATGGAAGGGATGTTAATGCATTACCAAGGGCAGGAGAAAGTGTTCCTGCTAAGGATTATCTCCAGGAGCTGCGTGTTACACTGTGAGAATCATTAAACTCAGGCATCTACCTGGACATGTGATTTGGTAGGAGTGGAAAAGGAGAGGGGCAGCCTGTCAAGTAATTGTAGTCCTTGGACTGTAAACATTGTTTTAAGAATTGAAAGGCTGGTTCAGGTGGACTTTATATGAAGGGAATATTGTAGTAGGAGCAAAGCCTGAAATGTGAAGTCTGCAGCCTTGTGAGTGGTTAGTGGTGAAGGAGTTTTCTGTGCAGGGAGGAGCAAATGGGAGGAGAGAGAAAGTGGGAGAGGAGGAGGTGGTGATGGTGTTGATATCCACACCTACAAGGGAGAGGGTCTTCCCCTGAGGCTAGAGTGTCAGTGACAATAAAGGATTGTGTGCTGCCTCAATCTGAGAATGGGTCAGATATCACAGGCAGTCAGGAAGGAGAAAACTTAGTAAAATTTAGATAAATATGTCTCCTCCTGCTAATCAGATTACCTAATCAAATTGTTTTGTGTTATCCTTTTGAGACTGGGTGCTTCTGTGTAGTTCAGGTTGGCCTTGAACTTACCATGTAGGCTAAGTTTGCCTCTAACTCGTGGCAATCCTCCTGACTCTGCCTCCGGAGTACTGAGAGTAGAGGTGGGTGCCAGCACACCTGTCCCTAATTGTTTTTGAGGAAAAAGTGGAAATTAGGAAACTGTCTGAGCTCGTGTGGCTTAAAAATTGGTAGCTATCGTCATCCAAGTGTGATGGAAAGGGATTTCTCCAGGATACAACAGATTTTAGGTGTTTTTGATGTTTTTATTGTACAGAAGATTGAACTTGGGTCTTTTTCTCTGAACTACATTCTCCGTACCTTTTAATATTTTAAAAATTTTTTGTTGATCTTGTTGTATTTTTGGTACTGGAGATCGAACTCGGGACCTTGCACTTGCGAGGCAGGCGGCGGAACCACTGAGCTAAATCCCCAGCCCTTCCATTCTTGACAAAGCACTTGGATGCAACATAACACCTCCTTTGCCTTTTCCATAGTTGTGGGAAAGCAGGCTTTTCAAGTTCTATCGGTGATATAAATGCGCTGGAAGTATTCTCTTTCTTGCTGCCCTACAAACATATTAGAGAAAATGTTACTGCTTATACTATATCCCTTATACTGTTTTCTGACTGGGAATCCCCTGGCTTTACTGTATTCATAGTTTTAGTGAGTATTAAAACTATGAAAAGGACTATGATATTTTCCAGTTGATCTCTGACAAGATAGAACCTCTTATCATTGTTCTAAGATGTTACGTCTTGATAAAGCCTGTCGTCTCCGGATAATGATTTTGCTTATGTCATTTATTTCTCTTTCTTGCATTATAACATGACACGTGAAGTTTGGGCTCATGTGACAGAACAGTGGAGATAGTGAATATCCTTGACTTCTCATCCTAAAATAATTCATGTAGAGTGTCTCCATTTAGAGTCTCATGTGTTAGTTTTGTGTTATATGTTCTTTATCTAGTTGTTAACCCCTTTTGGCATTTTATTTGAGACCTTTAATAAATAATTAATAGAAATTAAGATTTTGAAAACATGGTTATGCCAAGATTCAAGTAATCGTGAGGTTTTTCTTTGTTGATTTATGTTTCTGGTGCTGAACTATCCTTTGATAAAATACATAAACATCACTTAATTAAAATATTGTGACGGTGTGTGTATGTGAGTGTATGTGTGAATATGTGTCTGTGTGGGTTTGTGTGTATGTTGTACTTCACATTGCATCTAGGGCATCATATATGCTAAGGACCAATGCTACCGCTTAGCTTTTGCCAAGATAGGAAGCTATTTTCCAATCAGTCCTTCTAACTTACTATTTAATGTTTTATCCTGGCCTTAAAAATCTGCACGTGTAGGTGTTATAGCCTTTTCTTGTAAAACATTGCCGAGTTTCAGGTAAAGATCACACTACCTTGGTGAAATTTCTGCAGAGATTCCCTATTTATTTATAGACAGGATCTTGCTATGTAGCCCTGGCTGGCCTTGAACTCATGGCAGTCGTGCCTCAGTCTCCCAAGTGCTGGGATTACTGGTATCTACCTCCAGACCTAGCTCTACCTTTTTTAAAATTAGATATGGGAGACCTTGTCTAGCTAAGCGTACTTTTTTTAGTATAAAAGTTATATTAGTATATATTTTATACATGACAGATGTATTCCTCATGCAGAAATGGTGTGTCTACATATCTCACCTTGATCTGTATCTTAAAGTTTCACGGGAGATGAATTTATGACAGGAAGTTGTTTGTCTGCCACTTGAGTTGGCTGCCAACTCTTTAATTCTCCACAGTCCCTCTTATTCATGTACCATGTTTGAAGTTTTAGACATTACTAAGACTGTATCTACTATCTAAAGTTCATTAAATGACAATTTAGTGATACTTATCTGAAAATATCCTGGATCAGCCAGGTGCAGAGGTACAGTATCCTCATGTAATCCCAGCATTCCAGAGGCTGATCACAGGATCAAAATTGGATGGTCAGCATGGGCCACATAGTGACTCTCAGAATTAAAATACCAACAGTCTCTGCAAGTATTTCTCAGTTTCATAGTGAATTTTGCCATTACCCCTGCCTTGTTGTTACTTGCTGTCTTGTTCATATTTTTCAGATGATTTGATGTCAGTTTTGTTAATTAATGTTTCTTTTTTTTCTCATGAAGTGTTTTGCTAAAACTTTCTTAAAATCTCTATACTTAGCTGAAAGCTTATTTGAAACTTTGACAGTGTTCTTAAACTATCATCTAACCCTAAATATTTCAAAATTCCTTTGGTGACTTATATTTGCAATGAGATTATTTAAGAAGGAATTTTGCCTTAGAAGCCTGTGGGTGAGCTGAATATGGTTTGGTTGTAGAGCAGTTGCTCAGGGACACTGAGGCCCTGGATTTCCTACCCCTACCTGGCACCGAGAAATGAAAGCAAATGGGATTCGTCAATCTGTTTGCTCTCTACAATTTCTAATTTTTCTGTATTACAATTGAGGCAATATTTATACTTAATAACTGGAGGAAGATTGCTTATGTTCTAACTGAATGTTTGGAAATATTCTGGTTTTTTTGAATGTTCTAAACGTATCTAACACCTAGTGCATGAATATTATTAAGTGACTTAGAATGAATCCCATATACTTTGCATTTCTGAAGTTAGTTAAAATTTGGAACTACATTAATCTACCTATGTATTATTGATTTACCTTTTTCTACTTCAATCTCAGTGAAGTTGTGCTATTTACTACCTGAATTCTAGGAATCATTTCAAATATGTTTCTGATCTTATGCTGGTTGCATAACAGTACAAAGTCATGCTAAATTGCTCCTTTTGACCTTGAAATTGTAATCCCCCTGCTTCATATTCCCAATATACTGTATTTGCATGGGTGTACCACCATTCCTTGCTGCAGTAATTAATTAATTTATTTATTTATTTATTTTCAGTTGGGTTTTTTTTTTTTTTTTTGGTACCGGGATGGAACTAGGGACCTTGTGCTTGTGAGGCAGGCGGTGGAACCACTGAGCTAAATCCTCAGCCCCTGTTTTCAGGGTTTTTTTGGTTTTTTGGCTTTTTTGGGGTACCGGTGATTGAACTCAGGTCCTTGCGCTTGTGCAGCAGGCGGCAAAACCACTAAGCTAAATCCCCGGCCTCTGTTTTCAGTTTTTTGAGACGAGGTCTCATTGTGCAGTTCAGACTGGCCTTTAGCTCACTATGGAATTCAAGGCAGACCACCCCCCTTCACCTCCCAAGTGCTGGGAGTACAGGCATGTGCCACCATGCACAGGTCTCATGTTTTTTTTGGAGAGGGGGTTACCAGGGATTGAACTCAGGTCCTTGCGCTTGTGCAGCAGGCGCCAGAACCACTGAGCTAAATCCCCTGCCCCAGCGCTCATGTTTTAAAGAACATGAAATAAGATGTCTGCAGTGAAAACCAGTATTACAAATGTAAATCAATATACAGTGGTACGTTGTTTTATGAACTTAATTTGTTTTACAATTTTGGGGAAGGTGGATGTGTTTGTGTTTGTGTGGGGAAGGTGGCCATGGTCGTGTTTGTCACCAGATGTGGAGGTTGCAAATGGAAACAAAATTTTGTTGAATGCTTTTGTGTGTGAATCAAATTGTTTGGGAACAAAAGCATTCATGAAACAAGGTATTACTGTATTTTTAAATAATCAATTGAGACAAAAACTAGGAAAACATGTATTTTACCTAGCAACCCAATTCAGATGTTGCAAACTATGAGAAGCTTGATCATCTATGGCTGACGGTAATTGCAACAAATGCATCCACTTTCCTTTAGTCAATGCTAAGAAAAGAAACTGTTAGTTACTAAATCCTGGCTCAAGGCCTTAATACATTGGTCTCATTTTACCCTATTACCATAGTGAATGCTAAGACAATAATTACTGAATAAGTGTGGAAAGAGACAGTACTGCACAAAAGTTGTTCATTAACATAGAATTATTAAGAAACAGTTACTGGCCTCTGAGGCTCATATGCTCATTTTCCCTTGCTGGCCAGTGAACACATCAGAGCCTGTAATTGGCTAAGAATGAGAAGGGATTTGCTCAAAGCTAGCAGTGAGGAGACAGAGTGGCTGGCCTCTTTTCCTCAGCTCACCAGCTCTCCATTGAAAGGTGGGCAAAGGTACTTTAGCTTAAGGAGCATTGTACAGGGAACACAGAGATAATGCAGATCTCCACACTGGCTTCATCCCTTCCAGCTGTCTTTAGCCCACGGACCCCCTTCTTGTGGAAAGGAAACCTGGCTCCAGGCTTCCTGGTGTCATCACCTGCGTATTTTGTTTTTCATCTGGGCTGAGGAGAGGTGGGGAAGCTGTTTATGCCCTGGTCTCAGGAAGCCACTTATCTCTAAGAGGAATAAAAACTATCTTTTGGGGTTTTGTTTTGTTTTGTTTTTTTGGTACCAAGGGATCGAACTTGGGTCCTTCTGCTTGCAAGGCAGGCAGAGGAACCACTGAGCTAAATCCCAAGCCCCTAAAAACTATCTTTTAATGTCCTATTTTTCAGCCAGGCATGGTGACACATTATCTGTAATCCCAGGAGTATGGAGGCTAAGGCAGGAAGATCACTTAAAGGTGGAGGCTAGCCTGGGCTACATAGCAAGACCCTGTCTCAAAAAAAAACCGAAAAGAAAACTCAGGTCCTTGCACTTGCGCAGCAGGCTGTGGAACCACTGAGCTAAATCCCTGGCTCTTTTTTTTCCTTTTTTGTACACTATCTCTTTACTAACTGATTCTTTTGGTGTATAGAGGCTTTTTAGTCTGATATAATCTCCTTTGTTAATTCTTGCCATTCTTTTTTTTTTTTTTTTGGTATCTAGGATTGAACTCGGGTCCTTCCGCTTGGGAGGCAGGCAGTGGAAAATTCTTGCCATTCTTTCTTGTGTGATTGAGTTTCTATTTAGAAAATCCATATACCTATGTCATCAAGTGTTTACCCTATTTTATCTTCCAGTAGGTTCAATGTCTATGTTTGAATGTTTAGATCTTTGATTCATTTAGATTTCACTTTAGTATATGGTGAGACATAAAAGTCCAGTTTCCATCTTCTGCACACAGATAACCAGTTTTGCAAGCACCACACGTTGAATAGGCTGTCTTTCCTCCAATATATGCTTTTGGCCCCTTTGTTGAAGATGAAATAGTTGAATGTGTGTGGAGTAGTTCCTGTATCCTCAATTCTGTTCCATTGATCCACATGTCTATTTTTGTTCCAGTACCATGCCATATATCACTATTGCTTTGTAGTATAGCTTGAGTGAGCTACCCAAGAATCTAGGTCAGAAGTTATTTGCTGTTAGGGCTTGAAATACTTCACTGCAAGCTCCTGGCCCTTAGAGTTTGTGCTGAGAAGTCTGCTGTGATTCTAATTGGTTTACCTTTGTATGTGATTTTTTTTTTTTTCCTCTGGCAGCCTTTCAAATTCTGGGGGTTTAGAATCACACCACAGTGATACACGTGCACCCATGTTTATAGCAGCACCCTTTGTAATAACTAAATCTTGGAAACAGCCCAAATGCCCATCAACTGGTGACTGGATGAAGAAGATGTGGGGTTTTTTAGAAAATGGAGTACTACTCAGCCATAAAGAATGATAAACTAGAGACATTTATAGCTGGATGGATGCATATTGAGGCCATACTCTTAAGTGAAGTAAATAGGACACACGTGTAAATACCAAATGGTTTCTCTGGTGTAAGAAACTGAAAGTGTAATAAGAATCAAAATGTATAATAGATATTGTGAAACAGGAAGAAAAGGTCAAAAGGGGAAGAGGAAATGGGAGGAATAGGGGAAAGGAAAAAATATGAGAAAAGAAAAAAATGGAAACAGAGTCTTTGTAAATAGGGAGGGCTGGAGGAATTGAAAGGGGGGTAGGGGAAAGGGGAAAAATAACCAAGATGCATCATGTAAAGGTGCAAATTCCCAATGAGGAATGTCATCATTATATACCTAAAATGTACCAATAAACTTTTTTTTAAAAAAGGAAATGAGCCCAATAGAAACAATGCATTGTTAAATATTTCTGGCCCTTTGTCACAGTTGTTCAGCCTGTATTGTATGTGATCAACAGGTCTCATAAAGCTGTTGGGGCCGGGTATTTAGCTCAGTGGTTCCACCACCTGACCTGCAAGCACGAGGACCCGAGTTTGTTCCTGGTACAAAAAAAAAAAAAAAAAAAGAAAACAGAAAACTGTGCTCCAGGTCACTCCCTTCTGCATCAGAACAGGGAAACCATGTATTTTTTGAGATTGCTTTTTTGGCCTCAATATCCAAAATATATAAGGTAGCTTATTTGTGCCCAGCATTAGACATAATAGAAATAATATGTAGTTTGAAGACATTTGTCTTTCATGAATGCTGTGCTTATTTGCACAACATGCTTAGTGAATGTGCCTAAATACAGTAGGCTACATGCATTCCTCATGTAATGACTGAGTCTTGCTCCTGTGATTAGGTTGTTAAATGAATGAGGTGCTAAATGAGGAATTATATACAGTATGCACTTTGCAGTATTCAGGATAAAGAAATAGTCAAAGGAAACTCCAACTTGGAGACTTTGCTTTTATTTGTGTAACTCTTACATGCAGTATGTAATACATAACAGAACATAAAACTATAGCACTGTGCAGTACAATCAGTGAAAGTTAAGAATTCTGTATAAACAAGGTGCACTGTACAGGAAGAGACATTGAGACTCTATCAATATGTGCAGAAGTGTGCAGAAATGATGGGTCATAAGTCCGAGTGGTGGGTCATAAGTTAGAAATAATGTGCGTCCGTTTTAAATCCAAGTCATTAAAACAAGTTGTTAAATGAGGAATACCTGGATTGGCTTGTGTTTCTGTTTAGGATGCTCTTGAGCTGGTCTTTTTCATGAAATGTCCTTATTTCTCCATTTATTTTGAAAGAGAGCTTTGCTGGGCAAGTTGAACGAGGGTGTAAGTTTCTCACTCATTGTACCTTCAAATACATTATTCCAAGCTCTTTGGGCCTTCAAGGTTTGTGTCTGTTGTATTTCTGATTGGTTTACCTTTATAGACGATTTTTTTGTTTGTTTGTTTTTCTCTGCTTTAAATTTTTGTGGTGGTTTTTGGAAGTCTGGCAGTATAATAAGGATATGCCTTGGTGAGCTTCTTTTTTCATCAGTTTTTGTGTTCTTTAAGCCTCGCTCACTTCTATTTTTAACTCTTTTCTCATCTTTGGGGATTCTTCTACTGTGATTTCTGTGAACATATTAATTCCATCCATGTTATCTTCTAGCTTTTCTCTAACTCCAGTTAGCCTTAGGTTGTTCTTTTTAGTATTATCTAGTAGCTGCTGAATGGTCTTTTCTTCTCTTTTTTGTGGTCTCTTTGAGTACTTCTGCAAAATTTGCCATTTATCCTCCATTTCAGACTTCCTGGCCCATCCTGGGGCTCTGGCTATGGGCCATGGTGTGTGACTGGGAGGGGCACTCAGTTCCATCACCTCCCTGGGCTGGGTGCACGTCCCTGGCCTGCAGCTAGGGCATGGCTTTCAGTTGGTTGGCCCATCCCCACATTTCCCTTTCTATTACCTCTTAGAAATTTTTATATCTCTGTGACAGGTAAGTATTTCATGTCAGTGATCTACAAGATAATATGTCTTACTGCTGAGCATAGTGGTGCACACCTAAAATCCTTGTATGCAGGAGGCAAAGGCAGGAGATTTGCCACAAGTTCAAGGACAGCCTGGGTTACATAGTTCAAGGCTAGCCTCTACTACATAGCAAAAACCTGTCTCCAAAAAACAAAAAACCACAATGTCTCCCTTAATCTAATTTCATTGTTAGATATTCTCCAATGAATACTATAATACTTTTCATTAGAATTTTGAAATTGCCATTCATAAATTTTACTTTGTATTTACTTACTGATTTGTCTGTGAAACCAGTTTCAAGTTTCACAATGCTGTCTAAATACAATCATAGGAAGAAAGAATCTGTTTCCTAAATAATAATCTGAAAATAGATGTATTTTCTATGTTCTGTCAGAGCAAGTCATTAGATATTCATCTACCCTAGTTTTTTTACCCCGTGTCTAATGCAGTAGGCTGTGTCCATGAGCCATGTTTTACAGACAGTGAACATATATAACTGGGGTTAACCAGTAGGAGAACCAGTATTCCTGTTCTGCTGCTTTTTTAGCAGTGAATTTCCACCTGGCTTCAAAATTCCTGTGTGACAAGTGCCGGATAAAGAATAAGTGTTGGATGACCAAGGCATGAAGTAACCATTTCTGGGACTCAGCTTTGTGCCAGCTTCTCATGAGTAGATTTGAGATATTTTGTGTTGTGAGTCTCACTCTTCTTCTTGGAAATATATTTCTGATGATGTAGAAGGCAGTGACCTTTGAGGATGTGGCTGTGAACTTCTCCGTGGAGGAGTGGGCTTTGTTGGTTCCATCCCAGAAGAAGCTCTACCGAGATGTGATGTGGGAAAACTTTAAGAATGTGACTGCTTTAGGTAAGGAAGATACCACTTCTCATTTATGCGATCAGCGAGCATTGGTTATTGCTCATTAGTGCAGTGTACTTTATTGGAACACAGAAATATTTCCATGAATCTTTGGGTATGGTCACTAACTATACCATGAATCTACCTGGAAGCTAGTAATTTTTATGCATGTAGTAACTCGTTATTACATTTCTTTTTTGCTACACATTAGGAAGAAATTGGGATGACCAGCAAATTGAAGATGAGTTCAAAAATTACAGGAAAACTCTAAGGTAATTTGCACTCACAAGAATGTTCCTCAAAGGTCAGAGATATTAAAGCAAGCAAATCACACAAATGATGCCATGTTAAAAAAAATACAGAGAACCAAGCATGGTGGCACATGCCTGTGATCCCAACACTTCAGTGACCGAGGCAGGAAGATTGTCAGGAGTTCAAGGCTACCTCGAGCTATGTAGTGAGTTTGAGACCAACCTGAACTACATAGTGAGATCTTTTCTCAAAAATGAAATAAAACCAAACAAACAAAATGAGCCCATGCTCAGATTTCTTTAATCATACAAAATTTCTCCAAAGATGCATCCATGTTTAGTATCTAGAATCTGACAAATGAGTATTTGAAATATCTCATTATCTGAAATGTAGGGTGTATTGACGTTATGCCACAAGTGACATTATCTAATGTATAATAATAAATTTTTTCCATATTCAATATTATAAAACTGTTGTATGAAATTGTATTTAGGCATTGATTAAAGGTGTATATGAAAATAACTTTGTATTCAGTTGAGAGCCAAGTGCAATATATATTGTTACATATACATGTATTTTTTTTTTTTTTTTTGGTACCAGGGATCGAACTCAGGTCCTTGCACTTGTGCAGCAGGCGGCGAAACCACTGAGCTAAATCCCCAGCCCTCATACATTTTTGAAAGACTGCTTTCTTGGGGCCGGGGATTAACTCAATGCTTCCATTGCCTGCCTCGCAAGCGCAAGGTCCCAAGTTCAATCCCTGGTACCAAAAAAAAAAAAAGACTGCTTTCTTATCAACCAAGTTATGTAAGTAATGCTGTATGTATTTAAAGGTGGTGTACATATTCAGTATTTGCAACATTGGTAATCTTGAAGAACTATTCAAAATCAAAATTAATTTTTGTTTTTATAGTAGCTGTTTTCAGGCAATCTTCAAAAACATTTAATCTATTTATGTTCCAAGATACATTGTTAGAAGGCACCTTCCCCTAATGTTGGTGGGGATGGCATTATAGTATAACATCTATGGAAATGTATATAGATGTTCCTCAAAAAAGTAAAAATAGAAATTCCATTTTATCAATCTGTCCTTTTACTGAGCGTATTCCTCCAAAGTCAAAGTAATCATATTACACTGCTACATGCATGCCTGCATTTGTAGCAGTAAAACTTACAAAAGTAAAGCTCTGGAAACAGCCTAGATGCCCATTCACAGATGACCAGAAAGGAAAAATGGGACAGTCTGGGCAAGATGGAGCATCCTGGAAAGCTGAGGCACATTCGTGCTCAGTCTGAGCAACTTAATGATTGCTGAGACTCAGTCTCATAATAAAAGATAATAACTCAGAATATAGCTCAGCGCTAAAACTCGGGTTCAGTGTCCAGCACTGGAAAGAATGTGGTATGTATACATAATGGAATGGTATTGAGCCATAAAGGAGAATGAATTGATACCATTTGCCAGAAAGTGGATGGATCTGGAACCCATGTTACATTAAATAAGATAAACACAAAAACTTCAATATGACATTTTGTATTTTGTATGAGATATGCAAAATATGAATTAAGAAGTAAGATAAAGGAGAGGTGGTAGCAAACAGAAAGGCAGACATTTTGGAGAGGGTGAAGAAGCTCACTAGAAGGGGGAGGGATAGAGTTATGGAGAAAAAAGGTATGAAAAATAACACATATTGTGCATATGTACCAATTGTTCCAAATGAAAGTAACCAGTATATTTTGCAAACATATCAACTCCAAACTCCCAAATAAATACTGCTTTGGTAAAAGCTGTTTCCAAGCTATCATCCAGCCTGTACAGTAAATTCATGATAAAAAATGCCTAGCGGGCGTCAAATCATACCTCCTCCTGGTAAACCATTAATATAAAGACACTTTTAAATGTGACGGATTGTTTTGTTGTTTTTTTCTTTGACAGAAGTGCAGATGTAGATAAATGCTGTCAATATAAATTATGGTATCAACATGGAGAAATGGCTCCTGATACAAATGTGCACACGGAGCTGCTTAGTATAAAACCAGGTGAAAGTCTTGCATGTGGAAAACCTCCAGTTGGTCATTCATCACCAAAGGTGGCCGTCATACATAATATTGAACTCAAATCATGTGAGCTCCATGGATTTGAACAGCAGCTGTCTAGCTGTAACACACATGAGAAAACCCCTACTGACTTTCAGTCCTTTCAGAAACACGCAGAGGCACATCCTGAAGAAAAACCCTATGGATATAAGCAATGTGGAAAATCCTACTCTGATTGCTCTGAGGAAAGTAATGCTGAAGAGAAATCCTTTGTATATAAGCAAGATCTGAGAGCCTTCAGTACATGCAACTTTGTTCAAATCCAGGAAAGAAATCACAGTAGGGTGAATACCTATATTTGTACGCAACGTGGAAAAAGTTTGAATTCTCACCATGATATTCAGAAAAATGAAAGTGTTCACACTGGAACAAAATCCTATCTTTGTAAACATGATTTGAAATCCTTAAATAATAACATTTCATTTGATAATCATGAAAGAACTCACATTGGGGGAAAACCCTACATATGTAAGCAATGTGGGAAATCTTTCAGCAAACACACACAATATAAAATGCATGAAAGGACTCACACTGGGGAGAAACCCTATGTATGTAAGCAATGTGGGAAAGCTTTCAGCACACAAAGTCATTGTCGAAGACATGAACGAACTCACACTGGGGAGAAACCCTACGTATGTAACCACTGTGGGAAAGCTTTCTTGAGACACAGTCATTGTAAAACACATGAAAGAACTCACACTGGGGAGAAACCTTATGTATGTAAGCAATGTGGGAAAGCTTTCAGCTGGCGCAGTGAATGTAAAATACATGAACGGATTCACACTGGGGAGAAACCGTATGTATGTAACCAATGTGGAAAAGCTTTTAGCAGGCATAGTTCTTGTCAAATACATGAAAGGACTCACACTGGGGAGAAACCCTACATATGTAAGCAATGTGGGAAAGCTTTCAGCCATCACAGTGGATGTAAAACACATGAAAGGATCCACACTGGGGAGAAACCTTATGTATGTAAGCAATGTGGGAAAGCTTTCAGAACACACAGTCATTTTAAAACACATGAAAGGACTCACACTGGAGAGAAACCCCATGTATGTAACCAGTGTGGGAAAGCTTTCAGCAGGCACAGTGAATGTAAAATACATGAAAGGACTCACACTGGGGAGAAACCATATACGTGCCAGCAATGTGGGAAAGCTTTCATGACACAGAGTCTTTGTAAAATACATGAAAGAACTCATACTGGGGAGAAACCCTATGTTTGTAACCAATGTGGGAAAGCTTTCAGCAGGCACAGTTCTTGTCAAATACATGAAAGGTCTCATACTGGGGAGAAACCCTATATGTGTCAGCAGTGTGGGAAAGCTTTCACGACACAGAGTTATTGTCAAATACATGAAAGGATCCACACTGGGGAGAAACCGTATGTATGCAGCCAATGTGGGAAAGCTTTCAGGACACGCAGTGAATGTAAAATACATGAAAGGATCCACACAGGGGAGAAACCTTATGTATGTAAGCAATGTGGGAAAGTTTTCAGCAGGTGCAGTGAATGTAAAATACATGAGAGGACTCACACTGGGGAGAAACGTTATGTATGTCAGCAGTGTGGGAAAGCTTTCACCACACAACGTTTTTGCCAACTACATAAAAGGATCCACACTGGGGAGAAGCCCTATGTATGTAAGCAATGTGGGAAAGCATTCATGACACAAAATCATTGTAAAACACATGAAAAGACTCACACTGGGGAGAAACCCTATGTATGTCAGCAATGTGGGAAAGCTTTTACCACACATAGTTCTTGTCAAATACATGAAAGGATCCATACTGGGGAGAAACCCTATGTATGTAATCAATGTGGGAAAGCTTTCAGTAAGCACAGTCAATATAAAATACATGAAAGGATTCACAATGGGCAGAAACCCTATGTATGTAAGCAATGTGGGAAAGCTTTTAACACACCCATTAATTGTAGAACACATGAGAGGACTCACACTGGGGAGAAACCCTATGCATGTAAGGAATGTGGGAAAGCTTTCAGTACACACATTTATTGTAAAATACATGAAAGGATTCACACTGGGGAAAAACCCTATGTATGTAAGCAATGTGGGAAAGCATTCAGCACACATGGTAATTGTCAAATACATGAACAAACTCACACTGGGGTGAAACCCTATGTGTGTAACCAATGTGGGAAAGCTTTTAGCACGCATAGTTTATGTAACAGACATGAAAAGATTCACACTGGGGAAAAACCCTATGTATGTAACCAATGTCGAAAAGCTTTTAGCAGGCGCAGTGACTGTGAAATACATCAAAGGACTCACACTGGAGAGAAACCCCATGTATGTAACCAATGTGGGAAAGCTTTCAGCAGGCGTAGTGAATGTAAAATACATGAAAGGACTCACACTGGGGAGAAACCCTATATATGTAAGCAATGTGGGAAAGCGTTTAGCACACACAAGAATTGTCAAAGGCATGAAAGGAATCACATAATTTAGAAACCCTATGGATGTAACCAATATGGAGAAGCCTTTCAGTTACTCTAGTAATCATCATAGACATTAAAAAATTGAGAGCAGATTAACAGTGTATAAAGTGACTTGCTCTGACATGAAAGGACAGTGCAGAGAAGCCTTTGTATGCATAATAAAAAATCAGTATACAGGTGTTATTACATACTTTAAAGAATTCATAGAACAATCTGAACATATGTGAACAATGCGGGAAATGTTTTATTTTTCTTAGTACATTGAAGTTCATTAAAGAATTCACACGAGAGGGAAGCAATATGTATGTGACCAATACGGGAAACCCATTGTTTGACTTACCTTGAAAACCATGAAAGAATTGCCACTGAAGAGAAGGCCTATGTAAATAACGTGTGAAAGCTTTTTATGATTTTCATATCTGAAAACATGCAAAAACTCAAAATGAGATTTAGTATAAATACCAGAAGTGAGAACGCTAAGAATCAGAGACAGAGGGGTGTGTTAGCAATGCAATACACACTTTCAAAGCACATATGTAGAGACAGTCTTCCTCCAATATAGCTATGGATTAATGCACTGGTTGGGTTGGAAAGTTCATGATAATGTTAAATTCAAACAACAAATCACCTTGCATCCAAGTCTTCAGAACATGGCCTTTAAGGGACATTTTACATGCAACCTGTTGCCTTAGTTGTATCCATAGAGTGAAGGTTATTCATACAGTGAAGTTTTATTGAGTCTTAAAGGAAATTTTCATTTGTGACAATGTAGACTAACCAAGAGGTTATTATGTAAAATACACCATGCATAGACAAAGCTTGATCATATTGATTTTGAGCATCTAAAATTGACAATTTTAAAGAAGCAGTTTAGTTATGGTTGCCACATAGGTGAGTGGCAAGTTGAGAGATGTTAATGAGCAAGCACATTGTTTCTCTTGTAGAGTACAAAATGGCATCAATCCCATAGTGACTACAGTGATTGATGTGGTGCCCCATAGCAGCATAATTTGCTAAAACTTACTGTTAGTGTTATATATATATATATATGCATATGGTAATTAATTGTATTAGATGTTGCAAATGCTACCAAGTAAGAATGTAGTAGTTTCCCAATAAAAACAGGAAATATTACACTATACATTCAGTGATTTTATTTTTAGTGAAATGAATTAAATTTAGCATAAATAACATGACTGATTTCATAATGTGTCCACAGATTTCTTGTTCAATTCTTACAAATGTAATTTAGTTTGTACTATATTTAATTATTTATTTATATTTTTGGTACTGGGGATTGAACTCGGGTCCTTGCGCTTGTGCAGCAGGCAGCGAAACCATCGAGCTAAATCCCCAGCCCAATGTACTATATTTATTTCTGAAAGTATTCAATATTAGTTGGTCCAAAGGTTGTGAGATATTGTTAAACTGAAAGCATTTTGTATTTTAGTGAAACTTATACTTGGTTTGTTAGAAATGTAAAATAGTTTTTGAGGACATACTTTGAAACAATTGATGTCACAAGTTGATTTCATCTCATTTTGATGGAAAGTTGTTATATATGTGCTCAGAAAACTTTCTACATGTTAGAAGCACTTAGGCTGGTTTCTCTGACTTAATTCACTTAACATGTTTTCAAGATGTAGCCATTGTCCTACAAATGACTTGAATTTATCCCTCTTTATAATCAAGTAGTGTTCCATTATGTATAACTACTCTATTTTCATCATTCATCTGTTACTGGACATATATGAGGACACAGAGAGACAGCTCTTTGGCAAGTGGGAGGGAAATGAGAGGGCAAGGATGGGAAGAAGGGGAGGCAAAGAGATTTGATGTCATATACCAACTCCCCACAATGAATGCGATCTTTATGTCACAAACATGACCTAGATGAAGATGATGATGATGATGATGAAGAAATGGCAAACAGGGATCTGGAGCCAGAGAGAGGGAGTGTGGTAGGTGAGCAGAGGAAGGGGGATCATAAGAGAATCAACTGTTAAATACCTATGCCTGCTCCCTAAGATGAATGTGAACATGTACTTCAAACATGTATTAATTAAAAAGCTTACTATTTAAATTCTTAAATATTTAGAGAGATTTCATACTTTTTTATCTGCTTCCTAAAGATTTATCAGCAGACAAAATATTTTGTGAAGATGCCACTGGGTCTCTGGGAACCAACCTTTGTGTTGCAGGTTTCTTTGGTTTTGAATTCCAGGTAAACATTTTTCTTTGTAACAGGCTCAAAGTAAATGTATCGACACTGACTAATTTAAGCAGCAATCCATTACATGCACTTCCACTGGTTACTTATGGCAGTGATTATGTGACTTTGTGAGGGAGAGCAACTAGGTATACACGTGCACCAGGACATGTCCGTCAGGTTGCGTTAGCAAATGAAAATATGTATATTTTGCTCTCTGGCTCCTACCATGGCTGTTGGTATGCCATACCATTTGCCATTATATATATATATATATAGACCCTGCTTTAGTGCATGGTAGTGGACTTAACCAAAATACTATAGGGTTGTTCACTTTATGAAATAATTATTTCTCACAGTTGTGAAGTCTAGGAAATCCACCTCAAAGCACTAGCAACACAAATAGCTAATGAGTCAGTATTTACATATGGTGACTCCTAGCCAAGTTCTCAGAAGCCAGGGAGATACGCAAGATGTCTTTGGCCTCTCTTTTACATGTATATATCTCATTATTGAGGGTTCTTAACTCAAGACAAATAAATTTCAGAGACCCCCACCTCCTGATACCATCATCTTAGGAATTAGGTTCTAAAATACGTATTTTGGGGTAATGACATTCAGAACACAGAAACCATTATATGAGGATATATTGTGTGTTGAGCAGTGTAGTGGATTGCATGAGGCTTCATGTGTCCTGCAGCAATTTATATCCCGATAAATAATTCACAATTAGATTATTTTGAGGATGAAAATTTAAGCAATCTTTCTCAGACTTTAGAAGAAATAATGCAACTATAGATTTCATGAACTGAATTAGGCACAAAGTATTCCTGAAGGAAAGAAGATTGATCTCCAATTTATTTTGAGATTCTCAAATATTAAAAGTAAATGACAGGGGCTGGGGATTTAGCTCAGTGGTTCTGCTGCCTGCCTTGAAAGCACAAGGACCTGAGTTGGATCCCTGGCAAGCCCTCCCCGCCAAAAAAGTTTTTAAAAATGTGGTTTTTGCCAGACTCATGAAATACCGTCCCATGTTTTCACCACCTGCTGCTTCCTGAGAAGATTAGGTTCTCACAAGCATAGCCAATAATTGTTACAAAGGACAGAAAAGGAATGTTGAAAATGCAGTTTGTGACGTCATCAGAGGATCAGCATAGAACCTACAGTGTGATGGCAGGTCTTAATTTCACAAAGTTAGGCAATTATGATATATTTCCAAATGTAATTCATTTCTCCACTTGCCGCTGCTTTTTCAAAAAGGACAGGAGTTTCAGCATGGTCACATCTCATTGCTTAGCTCAAATACCTGACTTCCATCAGACCCATTCCACTAACTTCTCCCCTAGTGCATTCTACATTCTCAGAGTGATACAGCCCTACTTGTCATTTTCCACCTTCCCCAACCACCTCACAGTTTATTGTAGTAATGTCTTTGTTGGTTTTTTCTTCTTTCAAAATGAAAATATTGGTTCTGGCACCTGCCTTGCAAGCGCAAGATCCAGAGTTCGATCCCTGGTATCCCCCCCAAAAAACCAAAATGAAAATATCTCATTAGATTTAAGGGGCACATTTCACATCTGTGGCCTTTTTGGATCTTTCAGACCTAATTTGTAATACGTGTGCTGAAGAGCAGTATCATTTCTTTAGCAAGCTGTCAAACTTTTAAGTCTGCATTCAATGCCCTGGAAACACACTTAGAAAGGGAGTGCATCCATTATGCAGGTCTTTGTCCACACAATTTGAATCTTTTTGAGGACCTTTTGAGGTGTAATTCTGATTGCCTCTGGTTTTACTGATGAAGCACCTGAAGCTAGAGAAATTTAAAAATATTTCCAGTTCTCATTGCTTGGGTTACTGTGGAGAAGCTAAAATGAGTATGCATGTTGCAACAGGTATTTGACCCCTGTAGTGGGCTGTCTACACCACTTGGGAGATTTAATTCTTT